CGAATTCAGTGTAATTTCATCCTGCACCAAAGAAACTACTAAACTATAACGGTGAAATAATTTGAGTTGTATGAAGCTTTTACTACTCTTAAATAAAATATTCCTTCCCTCTCTTAGTCCCGGAAAATCCTGGCAGCCTGCGAGAAGAACCCCACAGATGCCTACCAACTTAATTATGACATGCACAACCCTTTCGACATCTGTGCTGCATCTTACCGGCCCATCTACCGTGGAAAACCAGTGGAAAAGTGTCCACTCAGTGGGGCCTGCTATTCCCCTGAATTCAAGGGTCAGATCTGCAGGGTCACTACAGTAAGTACTCTCCTCGAGAAATGCATCTAGGATATTGAAGGAAGGGGGAGAGAAGCAGCACAGTGGTCCTTTCTCTCCTGTATTTGCCCCTACCTCCTTGAGGTATATACTAGGTAAAGCTAGAGCTTCTCCCACTGCTCTTTTGTCAATCACTGACAAACAATAACAAAGCACTTTATTGTGCTCATGGAAGAGTGGAGCAAGCAAGCTTTCTAGGCGTCTCAACCTCTCAAACTCCTAACTTTTTCCTGTTTCCTCTTCCACAGGTGACAGAGATTGGCAAAGATGTGATTGGTTTAAGGATCAGTCCTCTGCAGTTTCGCTGAAGCCCCCTTTGTGTATAGGGTCAGTCATCATATTCCCCTCAGTCTCCACCCCAAACCCAAGAATTAATCTTTATGTCCTAACCTGTCCCTTTCCCTGCCCTAAGATCAAGTGTTCTTTTCTCTTGATCTATGGCTAATAAATGTCTAAGCTTGACTTCTTGTATTTTTTTTCTCTGAGGACCTTTCATTCTCTCAATCTTACAGTTGTGGTCACAGTTGGACTTGCCTTCCCAGCTTAACTCTTTCAAGAAACAAATGAAAATGCAGTGGTGAACTTTTGTTTAGTAAATTCCTTCAGTGCTAATCCTTTTCTTCCCTACTACCTTTCTTTCCTCTTTGTTAGAAAGGAGTAGGATGTAATAAATAAGGTAGCATCTTTTCCTCCATCACAGCAAACTAAGACATCCTGCATTTTCAACTTCCAGGCAGGTACCCTCCCTCTCTGTGCCCAGAAATTTAAAGTTGGAAAAAAAAACTGTCTGGTTTTCCAAAAATGCACGTCCCTTTTTATTGATTTGTTTTTTTATAATCATTGTTCTTATTTGTTGTATCTCACACTAAATAAACTAAATTACTGCGAGAGTTTTGTGGCTTCTTTCTTGTTCCTACTTATTCCGTGCAGCTGCCCACCAAAGCATATCTTTCCTTATATAACTACTTTATAGAAGGAAGGAAAACTAGGGGACAAATAGGTTAATTACAAAAGTAGTAAATGCCCATTGTTTAAAACAAAGCACACATTTTTCTTAGGATATATTAAACTGCTGTGAGAATGGTGGAAAGCAAATAGCTCCCCTGTTCCATTATTGACTGCAACGTTTTGTCTGTTATTAATTTCAGCCAGTATTTATTGAGCACCTATCATGTCGGTCACTGTTCTAGATGTTTTATATGTAATATACATATGTAAGATTAGAGGTAAATACAGTAAATTAGGATGATTACCGTGCTGATAAAGTATTTTGCTTGCTATGTGCGAAGACTGAGTAGAATAACTGTGTCTTTGATTAAAATATGTATCTTTTTGCCCAACCAGTGTGTCTCAGTGCACCAGGAGGTCACTGGTTCGATTCCTAATTAGGGCACATGCCCAGGTTGGGGGCTTTTTTTTTTTTTTTTTAAATATATGTTTTATTGATTTTTTACAGAGAGGAAGGGAGAGCGCTAGAGAATTAGAAACGTCGATGAGAGAGAAACATCGACCAGCTGCCTCTTGCACACCCCCTACCAGGGATGTGCCCGCAACCAACGTACATGCCCTTGACCGGAATCAAACCTGGGACCTTTCAGTCCGCAGACCGACGCTCTACCGCTGAGCCAAACCGGTTTCGGCAGGTTGGGGGCTTGATGCCCACTGGGGGTCATGCAGGAGGCAACCGATTAATGTTTCTCTCTCATCAATGATTCTATCTCTCCCTCTCCCTATCTCTCTCTCTCTAAAATCAATAAAAATATATCTTTTAAAAATTTGTCTTTTAAAAAAGAGCTTAGTCCTTTATATTTTTATAGCTTTTAAGAGTTGCTTTCTTAAAGTATCCCCAAACTAAGCCTGCCTTATTTTGGTAACACTTTCTCAAGTTATAAGCATGCTTTTTGTAAATATATACAAGTTGGTAATAAATTTTGGCCAAAAACACTTTTGTAACTTTAAAAATTAAACTATAAGATTAACTTTGCATATAAATATAAACATTATTCTGAATTCAGGGATATGAAAAAAGTTATCCACATTTCTTTTCTTTTTTTAAAAATATATTTAATTGATTTTTTACAGAGAGGAAGGGTGAGAGATAGCTAGAAATGTCGGTGAGAGAGAAACATCGACCAGCTGCCTCTTGCACGTCCCCTCCTGGGGATGTGCCAGCAACCCATGTACATGCCCTTGACCAGAATCAAACCTGGGACCTTTCAGTCCGCAGACAGATCCTCTACCACTGAGCCAAACAGGCTTCGGCACATTTCTTAAACCTTATGGAACTGGGGAAACAAAATGGATATATGTGAAATTATTATGAATATCAGGCAAGAACTTAAAATTGGTCAATGAACAGTAGAGCCATTATGTTCTTAATCTAGAGTGCTATAAAAAATGCTGTGAATTACTGTTTCAGAACATTGTTCACTGTATATTCAAAAGGCAAGAGATTCATAAATACTGAGATGAGGTGTTAGGATTACCAGTAGTAAGACACAAAAAAGCAGGAGCAAGTTTAAGAAATAATGCAGCCCAAACCGGTTTGGCTCTGGATAGAGCGTTGGCCTGCGGACTGAAAGGTCCCAGGTTCGATTCTGGTCAAGGGCATGTACCTTGGTTGTGGGCACATCCCCAGTAGGGAGTGTGCAAGAGGCAGCTGATCAATGATTCTCATTAATGTTTCTAACTATCCCTCTCCCGGTCTCTCATTGATGTTTCTAACTCTATCCCTCTCTCTTTCTTTCTGTAAAAAAGCAATAAAAAATAAAAAAGAAATAATACGAAAGAAGATCCATGCTTGTTTTCAACTCCATAATTTTCTCAATTACTATCTAGTATTTTCCTTATTAACATGCTTATTTACCACATTAATGAAAAGCCAATAGAAATGCCAATTATTTTTAATCATGTGCGTGATATAACTGTAGTCATATTAGAGATACACATGTAAGCAGTTTGGAATTGAATGAGAAAATCTGTAATTGTTTCAGCTGTGGGGAGAACTGGGTTAATCAGAGGACACAAATTATAGAAAATTATAATTGAAAAGGAACCTAACACCCCAACTTTATTGTTACAAATTTGTAATCTGAGGTCTAGAGTGGCAAGGATTTTAAACCAAGTAATTTAGTGAGAGCACTAGAATTTAGTTCAGAATGTGCTTGGAAGAATACAGTAAGTTTTGCACAGGTGTGATTTTATAAGTCTGTGCCCTGTTTGTAAAGGAAAAAGGATGTGCCAAATCTGTTGCTTTGAAACAGTATTCAGGTGTTTGGGAAGCTAAGGATGAAAACCATGAAATAACTTTTCATTTTAATGTGATTTTTCTTTTTTAAACTTTATAGCACTTTATCCTGACCTCTTTTAAGACATTTTTAAGATCTTGTGCCATTTTTAAAAAATATATTTTATTGATTTTGTACAGAGGAAGGGAGAGAGATAGAGAGTCAGAAACATCGATGAGAGAGAGTCATCAATCAGCTGCCTCCTGCACACCCCCTACTGGGGATATGCCTGCAACCAAGGTACAAGCCCTTGACCGGAATCGAACCTGGGACATTTCAGTCTCCAAGCTGACGCTCTATCCATTGAGCCAAACCGGTCCCGGCCATTTTTTTTTTTTTTCTTAATACATTAAGTGCCAAGCATATTTTGTCTTCCTTTCCATTTAGCTTGCGATACCTGATTTCACTGATATGCTGGGGGCACCAGTGACTGACAAGGTCCAAACGGAAAGTATAGTCAGTCACTGGTGACATGTTAAATATATTGCTATTGATTTTAGAGACAGAGAAGGAGAGAAGATAGAAACATCAATGATGAGAGGGAATTCTAGATTGGCTGCCTCCTGCACATCCCCTAACATGCCCTTGACTGGAATTGAACCTAGGACCCTTCAGTCTGCAGGCCTACTCTCTATCCACTGAGCCAAACCAGCTAGGGCTTTTGTCCCATTCTTACTGTGTGTGTATGTCTAGTATTACCTCCAGCCTAATCCCCAGTCAGCTACTTTACAGCTGGCCCTGGTTTATCAATCTTCCACTGTTCAGGGTCTTAAACAGTAGATACCCTCTAAGTACTAAAACAGATTTGTATCTCGGGTAGTTTATACATTCTGATAGATCTGAATAGAACAATCCAGAGGAGGAAGGGTTGTCTCGAGTTGTGTCTATATGAGCCTTCCCAAATTCACTGTATTGGAGGTTAGGTTCTTTACAAAGGAAAGGAGATGGATCAGAGAAGGCAGGTCTATTACTATTCAAATTGCTCAGTACAAGGCCCCAGAGTAATTTTTCCCCCTGCACTGAGTTTTAAGTGTAACAGTTCTAATGGAGACTAGGAAAAAAGAGATGCCCATTTGATTCCATAAAAATGTTCTTTATATAAGAGTCGGGAGAGCCAACTAAGTGTTACGCCCTCACCTGGGAGTGAGAAAAAGAGCAGTGAAGACAGGAGTAAAATCCTTGCCAGTAATGGCGCTGAAATGCCAGAGGGAGAGGCATAGGCGAAAGGGGAGGACAAAATAAATAGGAAGAATCTATCGTATATCCGAAAGTGTGCAGGCCCGTAGGAAACCTACCAAAAGATCCAAGTAAGTTTCCCCTCCGTTAGCTAAATGGTTCTGACGAAAAGAAAAACAAACCCCACACCGTCCTGTCCCTTTAAAAATGACGACTCTGCCCCGGCCCGCCTTACCATTGGTCGCAGAGGCGGAAGGGGTGGGGCGCCAGGTCTGGGAGGCCCGCCCCCTACGGTGCAGCGGAGGCAGCAAGATGGCCGCAGCGGAGGGGGACTGTGGGGTCGGGGCCGACGCGGACCGGGAGCTGGAAGAGCTTCTGGAGAGTAAGCCGTCCTGGGAGGACCCGAGGAGGGCGGGTGTGGGGACCCGTTCCGGGCGTTAGGGGAGCCCGAGGTGCTTGGGGCGGAGCGGGGAGGCCGGCCCGGGACTGGCCGGGGGCGGAGGGTCTGACTGCGACTTGGAAGCGCGTCTCCTGGCCCCTTCCCGGCGCGGGAGCTGGGAGCCCCTGAGGGCCCGGGCCGGTGATCGCCCTGCCGGAGCGGAACGGTAATCCAGCGGGCGGCGTTTCTGGGTCCCCCCAAACCCCCTTACTTGGCCTTGGGAAGTTCTCTAGGTCCTCGGCGGGCTTCCCACCTTCCCACCCCTGGTCCTCCCTCCCAGGCGGTGTCTCCCCTCCTCCCAGTCCGTCCACCTCTCTCTCTCCAGGCCCCGTCCCGTCCTTCCCTCCTGTCAGAGCCGGAGCCGGCTCCTTTCCTGTTATTTTGAAAAACGGAGGATGAGGAGGTGTCAGGGAAAGAAGTTCACCCTCGTTCACCCATGTCTTCTTCCTTAGCCATGCCCTCCGTGCTCCTGGTGTCTCGCCCGTTCTCTCCCCCTAGGCCTGGCGAGCAGCCCGTAGGAGGACACAGGCTTTTCAGGGCAGAGGTGAATGTTTTTGTCCTGCCCAGTGCCAGAGATGTGGGCAGGCGGGAGGATGAACAGGAACGGTGGAGGGTGCCAAGTGACTCTGTGTGACTTGGCGCGCAGCCACCTGCAGGGACGAGGCCAGAGGTAGTCCAGGAGCTTTGCCCGGGGAGGGCCAAATTGGAGGATAAGAGAGCTGAATGCCCTTCCTTGGAGTTCAGTCTGTACTAGTACCAGGACCCAGGGGAAGGTAGGTGGGACAGAGTGTGTCGTCTGCTTTCTTGCCAAAGGTTATTTCTTTTAGGGCTCCAGAGCGAGGGCAGGGGCCAGAAGATATTCTGAATCTTAGCTCTTGTTGGATGTATTAGTGTAGGGTTTTTAAAAAATATATATATTTTATTGATTTTTTATAGAGAGGAAGGGAGAGAGATAGAGAGCTAGAAACATCAATGAGAGAGAAACATCGACCAGCTGCCTCCTGCACACCCCCTACCAGGGATGTGCCCACAACCAAGGTACATGTCCTTGACCGGAATCAAATCTGGGACCTTTCATTCTGCAGACCGACGCTCTACCCACTGAGCCAAACCGGTTTTGGCATAATGTAGGGTTTGTAGAGAATCAGAGAGAGTGGCAGGGAAGGCACTGTAGATAGAGGTGTTTCTGCAGAATTTCTTTTTAACACTCCTCTTGGTTCCGAGAGAGATGCCTGTTCTGCTTTAAGCTGTTTTCCCCTCTTCGATTGCAATAAATTAGGTAATTGGGAGGGAATTGGGAGGCTTGCTTAGGCGTGGGCCAGAATAAGGAGACTAAAAAAAAGAAAAACTTAGTTGACAGTTAGAAAGATGGTTCTCTCAGTGCTTTGCCCAGAAACACCCTCGTCTTCTATTCTCATCCACCCCCAACACACACACCGTGTCTCTTGTCTCTGAAGGTGCTCTGGATGACTTCGACAAGGCCAGACCCTCGCCAGCACCCCCTCCTGCCACCACGGCCCCTGATGCCTCAGGGCCCCAGAAGAGAACGCCAGGAGACACTGCCAAAGTAGGAATTCCACCTGCTTGGAGGGTGGGGCTGGATGAGGGGATGGGGGGATAGTATGCAGTCTGAGCAGCGGTGGGGCAGGTCCCTATCGGCCAGAGGGGAGTGGCAGGAGGGTGCCTTGACATCACATTGCTGAGTGCCCTTGCAGGCCTCAGTCCTTATGAAACAGGGACTTGAGATGGAATAGATCTCAAGGAAATTCTTTGAGAAAAGAGGACATTTAAAGGATTGATTTGGGAATGCCACTCTATACCTTTCCCTCTGAGGCCAGATACCTTTCTTGCCGTCCTTCAGAGAGGTAGTTAGAATGCCCAGTAGAGAGAGGTAGGAGGGAGGCACTGTGTGTCCCAGAGCCTCTGCCTGTGACGTGTCAGAGGTCAGGTGCAGCGTAGTGCCAAGAGGTTCATTTTGGCCACACTTCGCATGCAGGATGCCCTCTTCGCCTCCCAAGAGAAGTTTTTCCAGGAACTATTCGACAGCGAGCTGGCTTCCCAAGCCACTGCAGAGTTCGAGAAGGCAATGAAGGAGTTGGCTGAGGAAGAGCCCCACCTGGTGGAGCAGTTCCAGAAGCTCTCCGAGGCTGCTGGAAGAGTGGGTGAGGCGGGGCCCAGACCACTGGAAATTCTGAACAAACCTCTTTAAGTCATCCTTGCTGGAGACCATCAAAATTCTTAATCAAGTTGGTAGCAATCATGATACCACTGCCATGGGATGGAGAAGGAGATGGGGGGAGGGATGGGAATCCCGCTGATGAAAGGGGTAAGGTAGGTGGAACATAACAGGTAGTTTTAATGGAAACTGATCGATTCGGAGCGGTAGCATTATCTTGAGTATCATCATGGAGCACAAACTAACGCACAGTCCGTGTAGATTGATGAAAATGACTATGAAGGTAACCATAGAGCACTCTAACATTTGGAGTGCTAGTGACTCACTACTAACTGCTCCATATCCAGGCTGGTAACCAGTTCAGTCTAGGTAAGCACATAATTAAAATCGTAAATGACCTTGGCTCTTTTGATCTCTCCTAGGTAGTGATGCAACTTCCCAACAAGAATTCACTTCTTGCCTAAAGGAGACACTAAGTGGACTGGCCAAAAATGCCACTGATCTTCAGGTGAGCGGGGGAGGTAGGGAACCACAAGGGGCCCATTTTCAGACACTTCGCCAGCAGAGTCTCAAAGACAGACTCTTGAGTATCATCTCAAGTCTATCCTTGCTCACTGTTTTGCTACAGGCAAGTTTAAATAGTTCTTTCCCACCTGAAAGGGTAGCAAGCATCCCAAGAAGGCAGGGTACTTGCTCACTTCTCTCCTACCCTTTCTAGAACTCGGGTATGTCAGAAGAGGAGCTGACCAAGGCCATGGAAGGACTGGGCATGGATGAAGGGGATGGTGAAGGAAACATCCTCCCCATCATGCAGAGCATCATGCAGAACCTACTGTCCAAGGATGTGCTGTACCCTTCACTGAAGGAGATCACAGAAAAGGTTTGTGAACAATTTATGCCTGTCATCCTTGTTCTCCATGGTATCAACTCCTGTGGCTGCTTTCTCTATCTTTGCAGGCCTGCTCAGAGCCTGCAAAGATAGAGAAACTCTGGTATACAGCTCCCATCTGTTTTTTCCTCCTATGTTCATTTATTTGGATTGGGGAGAGCTGGAGAGGAGTTGTGTTTCTAGGAAAATAAAGCTTTACCACACTGAGGATATTTGTTTTTTTGTAAGTATTCACAATTGGTATATCTTTATTATAAATATATATATATTGATTTCAGAAAGGAAGGGAGAGAGGGAGAGAAACGTCAATGATGACTATTGATTGGCTGCCACCTGCATACCCCCTACTGGGGATTGAGCCCACAACCCAGGCATGTGCCCTTGACCGGAATCGAACTGGGCACCCTTCAGTCCCCAGGCCTACCCTCTATCCACTGAGCCAAACAAGCTAGAGCGAGTGAGCTTCTTTTTGTTTTGTCTTATTTTATTTTTATTTTATTTTATTCTATTTTATTTTTTAATTTTATTTTATTTTAGAGAGAGAGAGAGAGAGAGAGTGTGTGTGTGTGTGTGTGTTTGTGTGTGTGTTAATCCTCACTCAAGAATATTTTCCAACCGAAACCAGTTTGGCTCAGTGGATAGAGTGTTGGTCTGTGGACTGAAGGGTCCCAGGTTCGATTCTGGTCAAGGGCATGTACCTTGGTTGTGGGCACATCTCCGGTGTGGGGTATGCAGGAGGCAGCTGGTCGATGTTTCTGGCTCTCTATTCCTCTCTCTTCCTCCTTATAAAAAATCAGTAAAATATATTTTTTTAAAAATATTTTTTTCCATTGATATTTTGAATTTTACAGAGTGGAAGGGAGAGACAAAGAGAGAAACATCTGTGTGAGAGAGATACATTGATTGGTTGCCTCCCACACACACCCAACCAGGCCTGGGGATCGAATCTACAACCGAGGTATGTGCCCTTGACCGGAATTGAACCCGGGACTCTTTAGTCTGAGCCACACAAGCTTAGGGACCAACTCTCACATTTTTAAAGGTTGTAAAATCAAAACAAACAAAAAAAGAAAATATGTGACAGAGCCTGGACCGGTTTGGCTCAATGGATAGAGCGTCGGCTTGGGGACTGAAGGGTCCCGGGTTCGATTCCGGTCAAGGGCATGTACCGTGGTTGCGGGCATATCCCCAATAGAGGGTGTGCAAGAGGCAGCTGACGATGACTCTCTCTCATCAATGTTCCTGGCTCTCTATCTCTCTCCCTTCCTCTCTGTATAAAATCAATAAAATATACTTAAAAAGAAAAAAAAGAGAATATGTGACAGAGATCCTATGTGGTCCTTAAAGCCTAAAATATTTACTATTTGTCCATTCTTGGAAAAAATTTACCATCCTCCAATGACAAATGCTAGCATAGCCAGGTGATTAGTTGGAGTCATTGCTATTTCTCATGCTGAACTAACTTGTTTAATTTTTCATTTTCTTGTCTTCCCCTCTCCTTGGTACTTTATTCTTTATATTCTATTGCCCTTCCTTATCCATTATTCACCTAATTCTTCCCTATCCATTTTCTCTTTTCTTAGTATCCAGAATGGCTGCAGAGTCACCGGGAATCTCTACCTCCAGAACAGTTTGGAAAATATCAGGAACAGCACAATGTCATGGGCAAGATATGTGAGCAGTTTGAAGCAGAGACCCCCACAGACAGTGAGGCCACTCAGAAGGCTCGTTTTGAGACAGTGCTGGATCTTATGCAGCAGGTGAGGCCTCTTGCTGTCTGCCCGATGGATGGGGCTGTCAGATGGGGTGTTTGGTGGAGGATGTATCTGGGAAGGATCCCAGGCCCTAGTGCCAAACCCAGGTAGAAGAGGGAGCACAAGAGAGGCCATACAGCATGGGCCTTAAGAGAAAGCAGAAACCACAGCTCAGATTCTTACTTTTAGCTACTTTTTGGTTTTCTCTGTCTGATGTTCCTTTTTCCTTATTTTCCAGCTACAGGATTTGGGCCATCCTCCAAAAGAGCTGGCTGGGGAGATGGTGAGTATATCTTCTAGATTTTAATCTGAGTCCAGGTTTCCAGAATTCTTTAGCCTTCTGTGATTCCACCTCAAGTGATAATTGTGGCTCCCGGGAATGGGCCTTTAGATGCTCTGACCTGAAATATGAGCAGTTATCTGAGTCCCTTCATCTCTCTCCAGCCTCCTGGCCTCAACTTTGACGTGGATGCCCTCAATCTATCAGGCCCACCAGGTGCCAATGGCGAACAGTGTCTGATCATGTGAAACACAACACGTTTCCTCCCTGATTGCCAGCCATGGGGAACATCTGGAGAACCACTGGGAGCTGAGGCAGGAGTTTTGTCGCGGGAGTGGTCTGCCCGCTGCCCTCCGGCATCCTGTCCAAGATGGTGCCATACCAACTGAGGCTTCTCCCCTGATTTCTAGGGATAAAGCCTGTTCTGCAGGCCATTTCTGTGAGCCCTTTTGTGGTTTCTGCTGCTAGCAAAGGCCCAGCTACCTACTGGTGAAGGAAGGCATCCCTCGTTATATTTGGCCACATTGATGTTCACCTTTGTACCCAGGGTCTTTGTGCCTTGTCTCCACTCCCCTTTCTTGGACCTGGGGAGCAGGGACAGAATCTTGGTACTCTGTTTCAGTAGTTCTCTTGGGCAGGGCCTTTGGAAATGAATGGGGGGGGAACTTAGCCTGGGCTGGAGCTAGAGGTCTGTCGCCATGCCCTCTTGCCTTCAGGCAGACCTTTCTGAATTCTCGAAAGGGAAAGGAAGTGGAGGCTTTTGCCTCTATTCACAGTACGGTTGGAAAAGAAGCGTTGGGATTCTCCTCTCTCCAGGTGCTGAGTCCTCAGCTCTGTTCCAGCAACTCAAGTAGCTACCCTGTTTCTTTCTGCAATGCTACGTGGTCAGGGTGAACCAGCCCGTGACCTTCCTTTGCCTCTTTTTATCTCGCCTCTTTGAAAAATACCTGTTTATTCAGCCCTTCTCTGAGCTCAAACTGTGACAAAGAAGGGCCCACCCTCATCTAGTTTTCCCTCATCTAGTCCATCTATTATACCATTCTCACCAGTTCCCCTCCTCCCTGGCAAACACATGTAATTGTAATGTCAGGTCTAGGGAATGAATGACTGTTCTTCCCCAGATATATTTTGGTTTATTTGAAACAACTCCTTTGAGTTCTGTGGCTTGATTCGGGAAGTGGTTCGGGAAAGGGTAGGATTCAGCCAGAGTCCTTTTTCCAGAATAATAAATATTTTAAGTGAGGAGTGTTTTTCATCCAGGTCTTTTTTTGATCTTCCTCTGCTTCTGCACAAAGTGTGAGTAATATTAGCAGAGGTATTCCACAGAACATTGCAAGGCTGAGTTCTGCCCGTCTGCCCGTTCTGCCCCTTCTCCACTCAATCTATACCTCATTTGGCAAAGGAGATGGAATGACCTTTCCTCACTTTCTCTTGAGTATTTCAATTGGAATCCCTTTCATTTGTGGTGATTTTAACATTTCACATTACTTTTGTTAATGTGTCTTATAAATTATTTTTCTTTGAGCTGACTTTCCCTTCCTATGGGAGCTAGGGATCTATGGACCTTGGCTGCCATATATTGATGGATAATCTGGTCAGACCAGCTGGCTGTCCTGGTTCAGCACTCAGAAAATAACTACCGAAGCAGATTCACCTTTACCATCTGAGTCACTTTGAGCTCCCAACATGTCACTTTCCATGGGGTAAGCCTTTCAACCCATAAGCTCTCATGTTCTGTGGTATTACCAAGGAAGGAAATGTTCTTGAGCGCACAGGCTTTTGGGGAAAGTCTAACTACTGTTCTTAATCAGAGTGTGGAAAGAGCCCAGGTCTGAATCTGAGACGCCTGTGCTCTGCAAAAAAAGGGAAAAGTGCGGATAGACTTGTGATGATGGACCTAAATGACCAAAACTCTCTTCTTATAGCTCCAGCCAACACTGGATGAGGATAGAAAGGAGAGAGGGAAGACCCAAGAGTCGGGCCCTTGAACTGTGTGCCCACCCTACTGCCAATTTTCTTTTATAAATTCTCACTGTTTACTGGGTCAGCCGGGCTTATTCCAGGAATCTAAGTGTACCCCCTCATCTGCCTCAGTTTGTTCTCAAGCTGTTTATTTTCATTTTTATTTTGATTGATCATGAACAAATTGATTCTGTTCTAGAAACACTGCTTGAGTTATTCTAAGACTTTTGAAAGGACAGAGCAGTCCTCTCAAACTGGTCAAGGACCAGGTTTTTTGTTTTATAAATATCCAGTTCTTCACACCACCAGTATGTGTTCCTATTGCCAAGACAAGTGTGCAATTCACATTCAGTGCTCCCCACCACAAAAATTGGACAACACTCAAAACCGATCAGATCCCATTTGACAGGATAAGTCCACTGATCATGCACTTGAATATCACAATGTCAAAATGTTAAAAGTTTCTAAACACCCAAAATCTAACTCATCCTGTCACAGAATGATTTAAAAAGAAAAACTTCACAGACCAGTATGTCTTCAAATCACCTTTGAGTAGCATTGTACTGGGCCCGACCCTGTCATTTAGTAGCTTAAAGGTCTCTCCTAGGTGAAGGTGCCCCCAGTAAACTTTTCCAAGAATGTGTCACTGTAAGGACATCTCTAGTATTTTTTTAGCCTGCCTTTTCTGTTACTTAAAAATGCCCATGCCTAGCCGTCGTGGCTCAGTGGTTGACCTCTAACCAGGTCATGGTTCGATCATTGAGCTTGGAATTAAGCTGTAGGCTAAGTGTTCATGCTGCTCTCCAACCTTAAAGGAGGTGCCCCTTTGTAGGCCCCTTTCTATATGTTAGAAATTGGTAGTGGTTTGGATCGTTTCAGAACTAAGAATCAAATTCTTATAGGATTTGTGATAATAGGGACACTTTCCTGTAACGTGAACATCCTGGCAAGTTCCCATGAGGTATTTATAATACGCTGCTGAGATGGCTTTGGAGAGCTTGGGAGAAACAATGGCCCACAGTAAATGAAGTCAAGATGACAGATCACATGAGAAATTATCAACAGACTTACAGAAAGTGGGCATATAGGAATGAATGTCTATTACACTGGAAAACCTACCAGCTGACTGTAATTTTTATAAAGGAAAGGCACCAACCAAGTGGTAACCAATACCTTTGAGAAGTTTAGAAGTGGTTGTCTGTTGGTAGAAGCTAAGGGGAGGGGGATGATATTGAAGATTTGGTTTCCCTCGAAGCAGTGGGGATGACCGGACTCTGGCATAGCAGAGGCCAAATGGCACCATTTAATTTTCAGAGGCAGGGTGGGTGAAGTTCCATTGTGCAGCATGGTCCAAGCAGAGTTGGGTAATGGAACATGGGTGGTCCTACAGACCAGATAGATGGGCAGCCAAGAAGGATATTGATTTTTATATAATTAAGAGAGAACAAAAGTTGAACAGAACGCACAGTCAGTAACTTCAATGAAATGTCACACTACCTTGCCTAGGTTCTAGGCTGCATTTAACAACATTGATAGGTTTTGTGACTTTGAGTGAAATAACCATAAAATGAAACAAATTTTATCATAGGCTAATTAATACAAACATGAGTGAGGTTGCTGCAGCATCTCGTCATAAGGAATTCCTTAGTGAGATACTCCACTGGGTGGGAGATAAACCCTACAAAAATTTAGGGCCCTGCCATATTTGGTTTTTGAATTCAGTGTTCTGAAACATCTCCAAAGTAAAAGATAAGTTACTCCATCATGTGTCTTTTAAAAAAAAAAAAATACATTTTTATTGATTTCAGAGAGGAAGGGAGAGAAATAACAATGATGAAAGAGAACCATTGATCAGCTACCTCCTGCATGCCCTCCACTGGGGATCAAGCCTGCAACCCAGGCATATGCCCTGATCGGGAATCAGACCATGACTTCCTGATTTATAGGTCAACAGCCATGCCATCTGGGCTGCATCTTGTGTCTTTTATCCAAAAAAAAGCACATTGTCTCAGTAGACAGCATATCCTTACATAGAAGTGCAAGAGGCCGGGCTATGATAGCAGGACCTTATGACCTGGAAAATTCCACAGTACTAGAGGTATCTGGAATGAAAAGATGTGTGGATTCTCTGGCAATCCACAATGGGAGAGCCACAGTACAGATCTCTAGGGTTCTGGAGTAATGTGTCATCTGTAGTAAAGTTCCACCATTTAAAAAGTGGCTATGGCCTGGCTGTTTGGTGGTTGAGCATCGACCTATGAACCAGGAGGTCACAATTTCAGTCAGGGCACATGCCCTCATTGTGGGCTCTGTCCACAGTGTGGGGCATGCAGGAGGCAGCTGATAGATGATTCTCATTGATGTTTCTATCTATCCCTTCCTCCCTGCCACCACTCACACCCGTTGATGACGCTGAGTGATGGGGCCTGGCGCCAGGCACTAGCAGCGGGTGCAAGCAGTGGTGGCTACAGGTGTGAGCAGGGCTGGCACCGGCTATGGGTGTGAGCCGTGGCTCTGGCACCGGCAGCAGGTGTGAGCAGTGGGACCAACACTGGCAGTGGGTGCGAGTGGTGGCTCCGGCACCAGCAGCAGGTTGGAGTGCCAGGTAGGATCATGGAGCAAAGAATTTTCAATAACCACCAGATGCTTGCCCTGATGACAGCAACCCCTTGTTCTGGCACATCTCCCCTCCCCCAGCTCCACCATCCCGCAGTAGCCAAGGCCCGCCAAGTTCCAGACACGCCCCTTGGTGTTCATATGTCATAGTGATTGGTTATTCTGGTAGTTTTGCCATTTGGCCTATTTGCATATTAGCCTTTTGTTATATAGGATTTTAAGTTGTTCAGGTACACATCCCATTTTTTATGTCCAACTTCACACAGATTGAGAGGTGTCTTGAGTCTTTCCCCACCAACCTGACCTTTACTAAGGAATCTGAGTACCTGACCCAGTCCTATGACCTGACCTGGCACAACATCTATATCATCCCAGAGGAGAAGGAGCACCTTTGGCTAGTAGCTCAGGACCATGCCGATGCCCTCCATAGACAGGATGCAGAGGCTGACCTGGTTGTCACTGGTGTAGTCTCCAGAACTGACCCGAGATGGGACTCAGGGCACCAGCTCCATAGGTTACCTGTCTCATTGCCGGACTCAAAAAGGCTGCCCATGGGGCAGTCAATTGTGATAAACCTAATGAAATCACTCAGGGCACTTGACGAAACCCAGCTCTCCTCTCCCACCTTACAGAAATTTACCACCTTAGACCCCACCTCCCCAGAGAAAAG